TGTGTCTCCCCTCAGACTGGGGCTCCCTGAGGACGGGGCTGTGTCTCCCCTCAGACTGGGGATTCCTGAGGATGGGGCTATGTCTCTACCTCAGTTAGGAAGCTTCCTTCACCTTGGTTAGGGAGCTGTCCTCTTCCTGACCAGCTCAGGATCTCCAAATATTGTTCAGCCCCCTTCTCCCCTGCTCTCACACACACACACACACACACACACACACACACACACACACACACACTGCACAGACTAACCAGACCTCTAGCTTCTCCCATACTTGGTGTTTATGGCAGCCATAACTGTGCCAGGTTCTGGATGGTGGTGGGTGGAAGGGGACATGACAAGAGCAAAGATTATGGACAGAGCCGTGGCCTGAGGAAAATCCTCGGGGTCCTTGGGGGTGGGGGTCAAATGCTTTGCAGGATAAGTGACATAAAAGAGAAGGTAGTGGGTCAAAGTGCTCAGCGACTGGGTGGGCAGGGCTCAATGTAGCCCAGAGAGCTCCAGGGCACTCTGGAGACTGTGAGATGGGGGTGGGGTGAAAGGGGTGGGGGGATGGGGTGAAAGCGGTGGGGGGGTGGGCTAGCTAGGAGGAGGATGGGCGTTTCAGCAGGAGGGCACAGGAGAAATAAAGGCATAGAGGTGGGAACGTCCACGCTCAGTGAGCAGAGGAGAGCCACAGACTGGTGTTCGGAAGAATTTTCTGGGGCAGGGAGAGAATCGTGGTCAGGACCTGGGACAGATGGGAGGCTGTGATCTGGGACAAAGCTCGGTAAGCGAGGCTAGGGCCACCCAGTGCTACAGGGCCCGCACACTCAGGTAGCTCAGCGGAGGGTGAACAGCCCTAGCTTTGGGCTCAGACTGATCTAGGCTCCCCCATAAATTATGTGTGTGACCTTGTGCAATAACTTCAAAACACAGGCCACACACGTGCAAAATTGGAACAATAACAGTCCCTGCCCCACAAGATTGTTGTGAGGCTTGAGTTAAAGCTTAGAACGTCCAGGCATATGGAAAACGCTCAGTCAATGTCAGCCGTTCTCAGGTTCCTACTGTTTAGGGAAAGGGCAGAGTGGAGCAGCGGGCGGCCTGCCTTCCTGGGACTCTGGGCCCCACCCTGCCCTCACTTCTAGGATCAACAAACTCCCAGAAGGAGGAAGGTAATGTATTTTCATGCCCAAGGACCAATTTTTCTGCTTAATTTGTGACATCTTCCAGCAGCAACCATAGCCAGTGACAACGTGAGGTAGGGAGGAGGCTTGGGACCCTGGAAGGAGGGGCAAGGCCCTGCTCATCAGCCCCCCTCCCCATCTCATCCTCCCATGATATAAGACCCTGCTCTAAATCTGATGTGGGGGCATGCAGCATGCAGAGTGGTGCTGGGAACTGGGAAGGCCACAATGGCAGATGTCCTTGTCCATCAAAGGGCAGCAGAGTTTCCCAGGAGAATAGGGCAGGGGTGAGGTGGAGGGCCTAAGGGGCCAGGGTAAGGGCAGGCTGGCAGATTTTAGAATCAGGACTTGTCAGGCTCCATGGGATCTCTCTGAGAAGGACGAAGGCAAGTTGGGACATTGCTGAGGTTGGAGGTCACAGTAAGGAGGGGCATCCCTCACATACAGAAGTTTTGAGAGGAAGC